CAAAATGTATGTGAAGGTTTCTTTCCATTTTTTCTTCTGAGTATATTCCAATATCACACTTGTTCCTTCAAATTGTACTTATTGGAATTCTTTTACTATCCATATATCTTTGTTATAAATGTCATAATACATGTAAAATAAGACAATCTAAGCCAAGCATGCATACTGTTTGCTTATCATTTGGACTCAATAGTAAACATACATCACTTTTAAGCTTTCCACCATTTATTTATGATACAATAAATTCTCCCACAATGAGGAAACTTAGGTTTAAAAATGTATATATGTTCACAGTTAGCAAAGAGGGACTTGAAAGACCTAGGGTGGACAAGTCAGTTATGGCACTGAGGGACATAAGGCTTATCAACAATGCTTTCCGAGTAAATACTATTGACCAAAATGGGGAAAGATAAGGATATTTTCAACTTTAATGTTTGTGGACCCTGCTTCTGGGCCCCTAGGAAAGCTATACTTTAACTTTCACCCCGGTCAGAATGCCTTCAAAGCAAGGGCTCTATTTCTGCCCTCAGCACACATTGTACATCTGCTTCATTAGCAAATAACCTTAAAGAAACATTTAAAAACTAAAGAGTAAAAATCACCCTAAATTCCCATACCTTTGAAGCTTGCAAACACACACATGCAAAAAGTATAAGAAAATGTCTGTAATTTTCTGGCATGTCCTTCCTCATGATGATTTTAACCCCTGATGTAACCAAAAACATATATAACCCTGTATTAAATGTTCCTCCTAAGGAGCATTCTCTGCTTTGTGAAGATTGTGTATCCTGGGCAACTGTCCTCACTTGGGCTTAAATAAAACTCTCTTCTTATTCTTTTAGAATTAAAAGATTTGTTCATTTTGTGTTGACAATAGCAAGAACTGCGAAAATCATAACTTGAATGAGAAAAGATAATCAAGTAACACCAACATAGAGATGAATAAGACGTTGTAATTGATGTTGGAATTAACTGACAAATATTTTAAAGCAGCCATCATAAAAAAGTTTCAGTAAGCAATTACAATTTGTATTGAACCCGATGAAAAAATAGAAATCTCAGAGATTAAAAAAAGTTATATATATATTAAAAAAGCAACTATGGAACTGAAAAAAGAAAAACAGCAACAGGAATTTTGCAATACTGCTGGATGGGCTCAAAAGTAGAGTGGAGATTATAAAAGTTAGCATTACTTGAACACTGATTAATAGAATTTACCCAATTTGAGCAAGAGAAAAGTAATAGATTAAAAGAGAGAGAGAGAGAGAGAGAGAGAGAGAGGATCCTTCCTCAGAGAATTTTAGCATAATAACAAAAGTTCTAAAATTCCATATGGTCAGAGTTACAGAAAAAGAAAGTGAAATTGAAAAAATATAATAAGAAATGATAACTTAAAATGTCAAAAATTTGGTGAAAGATACAACAAGCCCAGAGCGTCTAGAAAATAAGTGAACTGCATAACCCAATTAAATCTATGCCAAAATACATCAGAGGCAATATTTTATAACTAAAGACAACAACACTGAAAACAGCTATAATGACACATTGATTATAGACAAAAACCAAGATTTGTGATGGTAAATTTCTCATTTGACTAATGAGGGGTATTAACAAGTGTCCTGACATCCAAATGGCCAACAGACACATGCAATGATGCTCAGCATCCCTCCTCATCAGGGAACTACAAATCAAAACCACACTGAGATACCACCTCACGCCTGTCAGAGTGGCTAAAATGAGCAAATCAGAGAACTCTAGATGCTGCCGAGGATGTGGAGAAATGGGCACCCTCCTACACTGTTGGTGGGTATGTAAACTGGTTCAGCCCCTCTGGAAAACAGTGTGGAGGTTCCTCAGGAAATTAACATTAGAACTCCCCTATGACCCAGCAATAGCACTGCTAGGAATTTACCCAAGGGATACAGAAATGCTGATTCATAGGAGCACATGGACCCCAATGTTCATAGAGCACTCTCAACAATAGCCAAAACATGGAAGAGCCTAAGTGTCCATCAATGGACAAATGGATCAAGAAGATGTGGTTTATCTCTACCATGAATACTACATGGCAATGAGAAAGAATGAAATCTGGCCATGTGTAGCAACATGGATGGAACTTGAGGATGTTATTTTGAGCGAAATAAGTCAGGCAGAGAAGGACAAATATATGTTTGCACGTATAGGAGGATTAGGAGGAACTTAGCGGAGGATTATGGGGGAGAAGAAGGGGGGAAATAGTGGGGGAGAGGGAGGCAAACCATGAGAGACTCTTGAATGATGACAACAAACTGAGGACTGATGGGTGTGGGAGGGAGGGGGGAGATGGGCATGGAGAAGGGCCCTTGTGGGGATGAGCACTGGGTGTTATATGGAAACCAACTTGACAATAAACTATTTGTAAAAAAAAAAAAAAAAAAAAGAGGTGTCCTGAACATCCAGATGGCCAACTGACACATGACATGAAACGATGCTCAGCATCCCTCCTCATCAGGGAAGTACAAATCAAAACCATACTAAGATACCACCTCACTCCAGTCAGAGTGGCTAAAATGAACAAATCAGGAGACTATAGATGCTGGCGAGGATGCGGAGAAATGGGCACCCTCCTACAGTGTTGGTGGGAATGTAAACTGGGGCAGGCCCTCTGGAAAACAGTGTGGAGGTTCCTCAGAAAATTAACAATCGAACTCCCCTATGACCCAGCAATAGCACTGCTACAAATTTACCCAAGGGATACAGGAGTGCTGATGCACAGGGGAACATGGACCCCAATGTTCATAGCAGCACTTTCAACAATAGCCAAATCATGGAAAGAGCCTAAATGTCCATCAACTGACGAGTGGATCAAGAGGGTGTGGTTTATCGTTACAATGGAATACTACATGGTAATGAGAAAGAATGAAATCTGGCCATTTGTAGCAATGTGGATGGAACTCGAGGGTGTTATGCTGAGTGAAATAAGTCAGGCAGAGAATGACAGATACCATATATTTTCACTTATAAGTGGATCAGGAGAAACTTAATAGAGGACCATGGGGGAGAAGAAGGGGAAAAATAGTTGGGGAGAGGGAGGGAGGCAAATCTTTAGAGACTCTTGAATACTGAGAACAAACTTAGGGCTGATGGGAGTGGGGGAGAGGGGAGAGGGAGTGATAGGCATGGAGGAGGGCACTTGTTGGGATGAGCACTGGGTGTTATATGGAAACCAACTTGACAATAAACTATGAAAGAAAAAAAGTGTCCTGCTATTTAAAAAAAAATTTTAATGCTTATTTATTTTTGAGAGAGACAGACAGTGTGAGTGGGGGAGGGGCAGAGAGAAAAGGAGACAGAATCTGAAGCAGGCTCCAGGCTTCTAGCTGTCAGCCTGGGCTCAAACCGACAAACCCTGAGATCATGACCTGAACTAAAGTAAAATGCTCAACTAACTGAGCCACCCAGGTGCCCCAGGAAATTTCCTGATATTTTTTAAGTGTTCAAAATAGTGCCATGATGGGGTGCCTGGGTGGCTCAGTCGGTCAAGCGTCTGACTTCGGCTCAGGTCGTGATCACACAGTATGTGGGTTGGAGTCCCGCATTGGGCTCTGTGCTGACAGCTAGCTCAGAGCCTGGAGCCTGCATCAGATTCTCTATCTCCCTCTCTCTCTGACCCTCCCCTGCTCATTCTCTCTCTCTCTCTCTCTCTCTCTCTCAGAAATAAATGTAAAACATTACAAAAATTTTCAAAATAGTGCTATGAACCATGAGTTTTGTATCCAGTAATACTATCTTTAATGAATGAAAGAGAAAACAAGACCTTCTCAGGTAAAGAAAAACGAAGAGAGTTTGTTACTAGCAGAGCTATGCTGAGAGAATACTTAGAGTAGGTGCTTAAAATGGAAAAGAAATGAAAAAGGCAGACTTCAGGGAGCATCAAAAAGAAAGTGTAATAGAAAGAGCATACATATGGGACATACAATAGGCTCATGAGTTGGAGAAATCACATCACATGACTAAAACAAAAAAATCATAAAACCATCTGATAATTTAGGCGATTTTGTTTAAAAGTAGGAAAAGTAAAGGGACCTAAATAGGAGTGAGGTTTCCACATTTCAGTGGAAGTGATGAAACTCCTATCAGTAGACTATGGTAAGTCACATGTGTATATTATAAATCCCAGAGCAACCAATGAGAAAACTTTGCAAAGTAAAACACTCAAAAATACTATTAAAAAATCAAAATGGAATTCTATAGTGTTTGAGGAAAGGCACAGAAGGGCAAGAAAGGAGGGACTGTTGAATGAGATACACGGGAAACAATAGAAAAATAATAAATTGGTAGACATAAACACTAGCATACCAATAATTACCATAATTTTATTTGACTATGTCAATGTAAAGGTATTAGCAGTATCAGTAAGTCACACAACTAACCATATAAGGATTAAAGGAAAATCACTTCAATTTCGATAATATAGGTAAATTAAATGTAAAAAGGATGGAAGACGTCATATCATGCAAACAATTTAAAAACAGTTGTAGCTGTTTAATTACATGAAGTAGGCTTCCTCACAGAGAAAGTTAGCAGAGATCAAAATAAAACATACATAACAGTAAAATAATCAATCCTCCAGGAGGAGTCTTTTTTGATCCCTCCAATGCACCCCTCCAACCGTGTGTATGGATCTTTCACTGCCTCCAGTGACCTCTTCCTACCTCTGTCAGAGCAAGCAGCACACTATTTTGGCTATTATTTTTTGTATAACTTGCCCTAAAAGGTTCTAGGTGCTTTGGAGAGCATAATGCATCTCTATATCTTCAGAGTCCAGTACAGTACCTGTGTCCAGCCGGTGCCCAGTCAATAACTGACTGAATTTCAGGCCAGTAAAGGCTGTTCTGATAGGGTCAAAGGAAGGGTCTCTACATCATATTCAACAAGTGGCCAATCAGGCTGATGTAATGACGCTGCGTGGTAACTTACTAGGAAACCAGTGGGCACGCGCTTGGAAAGCTGCAGGCGCCATGGGCAGAGTGAGCAAAGGCGCGAACATCCAGCAGCACCGGGGGCGAAAGCAGCCTGGGGAGCCTGCAGCCGCCTGCGCAGCCATCTCGGTCGTGGGCGCACGGCGCCCACCTTTCCAAGTTCGCGTGGGGAGCCAGGCGGCTGGGAGAAAGCCGGCGGCAGCCCGGCGGGATTCCGCGAGGTTGCGGCGGAAGCGCTGGTGGCGGCGGGCCCGGGAGGCAGCCTCCAGAGGCCCGCTGCCAGCCCCGAAGCCGCCGGCGCCCGCCGCGTCACCGGGCGAGATGGACCTGGGCGCGCAGCGGGAGCGCTGGGAGACGTTCAGGAAGCGGCGGGGCCTCAGCTGCGAGGGCGCCGCCAAGTTCCTGCTGGACACCTTCGAGTACCGCGGCCTGGTGTACCACACAGGCGGCTGCCACTGCGGCGCGGTCCGCTTCGCGGTCTGGGCCCCCGCAGACCTGCGCGTGGTGGATTGCAGCTGCAGGCTGTGCAGGAAGAAGCAGCACCGGCACTTCCTCGTCCCGGCCTCGCGCTTCACTCTCCTGCTGGGCGCCGAGAGCATCGTCACGTACCGATCCCACGCGCACCCGGCGCTGCACAGCTTCTGCAGCAGGTGCGGGGTGCAGAGTTTTCACGCGTCTGTCTCTGACCCCGGGGTTTACGGCGTCGCCCCGCACTGCCTGGACGCGGGCACCGTGCGCAGCGTGGTCATCGAGGAGGTCGACGGTGGCGACTGGGGGGAGGAGGCCACGAAGGAGCTCAAGGCCATTCAGAACGTGTCCCCCGAGTGAGCCCCTGCCTCTCCTCCCGAAGAGTGGCACTGACTCCGGCCGCCACACGCCTGAAACGTGTCCGGTGCCCCTCGAGGGGCCACCTCAGTGCTTGTGAAGGAATTACTGAGGTCGGTTTTTGGACTGGGGAACCCTTGATGTCGCGCCAAGCTTCCACCCTTTCCCTCTCAGTGTATTTCAACGGACTTACTTATTAAAAAAAAAAAAAAAAAAAAAAGGAGCACACATGTGTCTGTGAACAGCTCTAATCTTCCAATACAGTCAGCAAGCAGTGTCTCTTTACCTTTTCAGGTCGCGTTGCGTAACACTCACTTGTATTATTCTTCCTACAGTTATCACAGATAAAATTCCATATTATTCATATGTGCTGTACCGTTATCGTGCTATTGTGAACAAAATTGTTTTTAATGGTCGCATCTGGCATGTAAGACCACTCACTATATCCAAACACTTTTGTGAACCTTTACGAGGACGTTTTCTATTGGTTATCTGTGTGCGTGGGTGTGTTAGGTACACACGTTTTTGTTACTTGGAGATGTGCTTATTTTCGGCCACATTGTTTATTTAATGTATTTGTATATAGTAGATTTAAGGTTCATGAGTGTTCCATACCTTATTGCACCTATGTTTTCAAATGATGTTGCCATTTTGCTTGGTTTTGCAAAAACTGCCTCTGGGAAGGGGGATGGGGAGACACTATGTACACCCTCTTTGATGTTTTGAAATTTCTGTCTTGTACATGTGTTAAGCATTGAGAAATTAGTAAATACTTTTTAAAATGAGATTACGTGGTTTGATTTACATTTGTATCAGCGCTTGTCTAGGTCAAGCATTGGCTGTTAAAGTTATTTGGTCTTATTTTTTGAGAGGATGTTGGTGTCTTTGGTTTCTGTAGTGGTAAAAATTTCTCCAGATTCCCCAAATTTTTGAGAAGGAAAATAGTAGAGTGTTACAGATTCAACCTCCTGGGAAGACTATGTTGTAATCCAGGCAATGCTACCTACTACATAGATAACATACGTAGAGTTGCTTAAGGTTTGTATTCCTGAATTTTATCTTCTGTACATAGTTTATCTTCTGTACAGTTATCGTTTTCAGGGTTAGCATAGTACTTTGTGCTTATTAAGTCAGTGAATGCTTGTTTTTTTCTTTTCAATCGATCTGAAATCTCAAAATATTCTCCTATCAAGTCACCCCATAATGTAGGAACATCTTCAGATATCTGAGATTTAGCCATGATAGGTATATCATCTCGTACTGGCTTAATGTTTAAGATCAGAAGACAGTATGATACTGGGGGGGGGGGGAGTAATTAGCATAGCAGTATGTAAAAATCATAAACCCAAAAAGAAATCAACAGGAGATAATGTGGGGGGCAACAGTGAGGTACTCAGAAAAATTGAGAAGTAATAAGGTTTTTCTCTAAGTGTGAGATGTAAAATCAAAGTAGAGATATACAAATTTTATTTAAGGAATAAAACTGATATATACAGTGTAATTGCATGTATAAAATGATTTTTAAAAACAGGTGATAGTAAACTATATTGTTTAGGGGCATATATATGGTGGAAGAAAAACAAGAAATGCAAGAAAATAATTAAGCAAGGATCATATTAGGCCTTAACTCTACAGAGGAGGGATGGCTTTGTGATTTATGTGGGAACATCATGTGTTCCTGTTACTTTGGTATATAACAAACTGCTCCAGACTTAGTCCATAAACTAATAAACATTTTATTATATGCAGGGAATATCAGAGTAAGAAATTCTGAAAGAGCACAGTAGATATGACTTGTTTCACATGATGCCTTATGGCCTCACTGGGGGAAAAAAAACTGAATGGCTGGGGGCTGGAGCCATCTGAAGGTTCAGTTATTTGCATGACTGCCACAGGTATTGAGAAATCTGGAAGACTAGGACTGACAAGTAGAGTGCCTACATGTTACCTCACTGTGTACTTTGGTTTCCTCACAACATAGCAGGCCTCACAGTAATCAGTCTTCATATTTCATGACTCAGGTTCCAAACAAGAGTGTTTCTGTAAGCAATGTGGTAGTGGTATCACTTTTTATGACCAAGACTCAGAAGTCATGTCACATTACTTCTGTCATACTCTATTAATTATGAGTCACAACCCCTTCCAGATTCAACTAAAGGGATTAGACTTAATTTCTTACAGGGGAACATGGCAACTTTTATAAGAGCATGAAAGATGGGAGATATTGTCATGGCCCTCTTTGGAAAATATGGTCTTCCTCTTTTTTCATATTTTAAGTTTTTATTTAAATTCTGGCTACTTTACATGTAGTGTAATATTGGTTTTGAGAGTAGAATTTAGTGACTCATCATATGTAACACCCAGTGTTCATCACAAGTGCCCTCCTTAATACCCATCATCCATTTAGTCCATCTCCCACCCAACACCCCTCTAGCAGCCCTCAGTTTGTTCTCTATAGTTAAGAGTCTCTTATGGTTTACCTCCATCTCTTTTTTTTCTTCCCCTATGTTCATCTGTTTTGTTTCTTAAATTCCATACATGAGTGAAATCATATAGTATTTATCTCTCTCTGATTGATTTATCATAATACACTCTAGCTCTATCCACATCATTGCAAATGGTAAGGCTTCATTCTTTTTATGGCTGAATAATATTCCATTATACATGTGTGTGTGTATATATATATATATATAATGCTCTCTATATATCCCCTCTATATATACATATATATATATATCTTCTCTATCCATTCATCACATCTTCTTTATCAGTCTATGGGCACATGGGCCCTTTCCATAATTTGGCTATTATTGATAATACTGACAATATTGCTATAAACATTGAGGTGCATGGGTACCTTCAAATAAGTATTTTTATATCCTTTGGGAAAATACAGTCTTTCACAGTGGGCTTTTAGGTAGCTTTTTATGCTTCATTCACATGTTTATGATTATTTAATAGCTCATGGATAGTTTATGTACAATTAGTGTATGATTTAGTTCACAATATTAAAAAAGGGTGATTCTGACTCCTATCTTGGAGCAAGATCAAAACCAGACTAAATGCATTACTGGAGGGATATAGAGAAGAGAGAATATGACAGCCAGGAGGAGGCTAGAGCAAAACTTGGAAATGTCCATCCAAACACAGTCCAAGTCAGAAGAAGTACAGAAGAGCATAACTATTTCTGATCGCACTGGAAAAGTTTAACTTACTGCTACTTGGATATATTGGACTTCCTTGACACAATATAACTGAGTGTCCTTTCCTCTGTCCTTTCTAAGTTTTCATTCCACAAATATTTACTGAGTGTTTACCATGGACTAGACAGAATATTATAATGTCTTAAGGTTATGGGTGGGGGGGTGGAAATGGATAAAAATGTTCAAGTGTCAATGCTTAGAGTTGATATAAAATAGAGTCTCCTAACTTAGAATATCCATTCCTCTTTTTCCACAAAGAAAATTATTTATAGAATATATACAAAAGGAAATGAGAAGGGAATCAGTGTGTCACCGAAAAAAGAAAAATTAAACATGTTGGCAGTGATAGTGGAAATGAGTAATAGTGGAAGCTAGAAGACATACAAAAAGCAATTAACAAAATGACAGTTCTAAATCCCCTATCAGTAATTCTTAAAATGTTAATGGATTAAGTGTGCCAATCAAAAGATATAAACTGGCAGAATGGATTAAATAAAATGAGATTCAACTATATGCTGTCTACCAGAGACTCACTTTAAACCTAAGGACATGCACAGGTAGAAAATGAAATGATTGAGGGGCGCCTGGGTGGCTTAGTCGGTTGAGCGTCCGACTTTCGCTTGGGTCATGATCTCGCGGTTCGTGGGTTCGAGCCCCGCGTCGGGCTCTGTGCTGACTGCCAGCTCAGAGCCTGGAGCCTGTTTCAGTCTGTGACTCCCTCTCTCTCTGACCCTCCCCTGCTCACACTGTCTCTCTCTCTCTCCTAGAAATAAATAAAACATAAAAAAAAGAAAATAAAATGATTGAGAAAGAGATCCCATGCAAATAGTAAATAAAAGAGAGCAGGAGCGGCTATATTAATATCAGAGAAAATAGACTTTATGTCAAAAACTGTCACAAAAAACAAAGATGGATTTTGTGTAATGACAAAAGTGTTAGTACACCAATAAAATATAACAATTTTAAATATATATGTATCAAATATCAAAGCTATTAATATACGAAGCAAATATTGACAGAATTGAAGGAAGACATAGGCAGTTTTATAATAATAATAGATTTCAATACCCCACTCTCAATAATAGATAGTACAACCAAACAAAATATCAATAGGGAAACAGGACTTGAATAACACCGTAGGCCAACTGGACCTAACAGCCATGTACAGAACACTCCACCACCAACAGCAGAGTATACATTTTTATCAAGTACACACAGAACATTCTCTAGAATAGATTATATGTTTGGTACAAGTGTTAATAAATTTTAAAATATTGAATTCATACCAAGTATCTTTTCCAATCACAATAGAATGAAACTAGAAATCAATAGCAGAAGGAAAATGGGAACATTCAGATATGTAGAAATTAAATAATAATTGAAACAAAAAAAGAGTCAAATAAGAAATTACAGGAAAATTAGAAAATACCTTGAAACAAATGAAAACAAAAACACAACATACAAAAACACAGGTTGAAGCAAAATCAGTGCTAAGAGGGAAATTTATAGTTATAAATGCATACATTGAAAAAAAAAGAAAGATTTCAAATCAGCAACCTAACTTTACACCCTAAGGAATTAGCAATATAAGAACAAACTACATCTATAGCTAACAGAATGACTCTTTGCTGCATTCTCTGCAACCATACTCTTGAAATTCCAGAAAATGTTGACACCACTCTGAAGGGATGTACTTTTATTTGTGAAGGGCCCCAGAGGAACTTTGTGGAGGGACTTCAATAACATCAATGTTGAACTCAGTATTGGAAAGAAAAAGAAGTCTCTGAGTTGACAAATGGTATGGAAAAAAAAGGAACTGACTACTGTTCACACTATCTGTAATCATGTATAGAACATGATCAAGGGTGTTACACTGGGCTGCCAGTTACAAGATGAGTTCTATGTATGCTCACTCTCCCATGATTTGGGAGAATGGTTCTCTTTTTGAAATCCAAAAAAATACACCTTTAGGTTTCAGATGAGGACAGGAGTTGACTGTTCAGTATTTCAAACCCAAAAAGATGAGTTAATTCTTGAAGGAAATGACCTTAAACTTGTGTCAAATTTGGCTGCTTTGATTTAGCAAGCCACAATAGTTAAAAACAAGGTAAA